TGAATCGGTAGACATGATTAATGGCTTCTTTCTTACTCAGTTTGTCAGTGAATCTACAAAAGGATGTGCTTGTACTGATCTTGTGTTTTCAAACAATCAAGACAGAATGAGTGAAAGAAAAGTAAGAGAACCATTAGGGAAGTGCGATCATAACACAGTATGCTTTGAAGTATACTTTGGAACTGTCCAGTCTGAGTACAAATCAAAAGTTTACAATTTCAGAAATGGAGACTTTGAAGGAACAAGACAAGGCGTAAAAGAAGCAGAATGGGACACAACTGATACGAAATCAGTGAGGGATGGATGGCAACAGTTTAAACAGATTCTGCTTAAAGGAAAGAACACATTTATCCCAAAGGTGAGCAAATCAAAAGCTAAAAACAGCATCCCAAATGGTTCAACAAATCAATTATGTAAAATTTAAGGGAAAAGAAATCGCTTTATAAAATGATTAATAAGTATAATTAATTGTAAGCAATTTGACAGCTTGATGTAATACAAGATTAGCCTTACAGTGTACACTGCAGTGCATTCATTTGGCATCAGGAGAGACTTTACTTTTGCAAAAATACCTCGAGATTTATCATTTCATGATCCAATCCCATTCAGTACACAAACTAATGAAATTTGCTATTTGTTTAAAATATTTCTTTAGCATAGGAGGTCAAAGCTTTACAAATCAAATATTTCATCTGTCACACATGATGTAAAGAGCAAATATGAAAGCAGTTGAGCACAGTTCCACTGCCTACTATGACTTAGTGAACTGTAGTTCCGTAGTGTGCTTGCATCCATATGCTCATCTAATTGCATAGAGATGTATTTATTACTCAATATGCTTTCAATTAGCTTTCTTTAACCTGAAAAACTCTTCAATTTGTCATGATATGGTATTGCTAGAGGAAAAATGTCCAAATACAAGAGACAAGTGTCTCCACTATTCTAAGTTCTACTTCCAGTCTGAACAGCACTTAAGGTTACTATGTAAGATGCTGCTATAGCTCCTGCATTAGAACCATTAAAATTGGCTATTACGTTTTGTAACCGATTTGACATTTTCTGGAAGAGATCACCAGATTCATCTTTAAATGAGGATGATCTTCTTGTTGCCTTATGTTTACAGAGGGCTTATATCAAAATAGCAAGTGGCATCCTCATGGGTTTTGCCAGGACCAGGCCCGCATCATCAGAATTATAATCCGACTCCCCATTTGTGCTTTCCATACTAGTTTGCTTCTACTTTCCATAATCTAACCGCTCTTCCATTTTTATTTTAATTTTAGTGAACGACCTTTCCAGATTTGTTGAACACCAAGTGGTGTCGGTGGGCCAGTAGGAGGTATTTGTCCCTCTAAACCAGAATTTATAAACTGTTATCCCAATATAGTGACAACGGTCACAGCTTGCTATTGGAGGTATCACGCTTCAGATGAGATGTTAAACCAAGGTCCTCACTACTGGGTCATTAAGGACCCCCATAGCACCATTTTAAGAGCGGTGGTGGGATTTTGCAATCCCAGTGTCCTGTAAATTCCACTCTGCCACTCTTAAATGGGAACTGCAATGTTATTTTTACATTTCAGGTGATAAAGAATTGGCATTGGTGAAGGTACAAAGTACACGGAAACATGTAAAAGCTTTGATTTATGTCACAAAATAGACAACATTTCCAGGTATGCAAAACCCCACAGTGCCATAAATTTTCTTTCATTCTGAAAGAGGCAACACAACTTCCGGTGAAGCGAAGCGGCCCTATTACATTGTCAACAAG